AACCAGGGCTGGGGTTGTGGCTCAGGGGTAGAGCACTCGCCTAGCATGTGTGAGGCCCTGGGTTCGATCCTCAGCACCACATATAAATAAATAAAATTAAAAATTAAAAATTAAAATTAAAAAAACCTCAAACCAATCCACAGGGCAATTCACACATTCCCCACAAACATCAGTTATCGCCTCGTCCAAAAACACATGACCAGGAAGCATCATATGAAAAATATTTCTGAATAAGGGAACCCCAACATCAATCTGAAGACTGAGGAGGAGTCTGTCTTGAAAAGTGGTGCAGTGTGACAGAGGAATGAGTAAGGAGACAGYCGGGAATCTTCAAAATGAGAAGACACAGCCTCCACCCAACAGGGGAAGGCAGCCATGAAGAGAAAGCAGGCAGACAGGAGGGAACCCCGTGGGAAACCAAACCCAAGAATCTCAGAGGGAAACTGAACACGCCAGCAAAACTGAAATGTTTAAAAGAAATTCATTACCAATACTAGAGTGTTGGTGAACCCACAAACAGAATGGAAAACCTAAACCTCTCAGTCTTTGGAACATCAAGTACAAAATAAGGAGGAAACAATAAAATAATATACTGAATTATATGTATATGTATATATATTTATATTTATATATAATTTGTATATGTATGTGTATATAKAGAGAGAATGTTACACTACAAAATAATACACATTGTTTTAAAGTATCCGTGAAATAGTTAACATTTATAAAAAAAACTTTTTAAATTTAAAAATATGGAATGTTTCACGAATTTGTGTTTCATCCTTGCCCAGGGGCCATGCTAATCTTCTCTGTATGGTTTCAATTTTAGTATATGTGCTGCCGAAGTGAGCACTAAAAWTTTTTTTTTAAATTGTAGATGGATATAATACCTTTATTTTATTCATTCATTTATTTWTTTTTTATGTAGTACTAGGGAACGAACCCAGTACCTCACACAAGCAAGGCAAGCATTCTACCACTGAGTCACAACCCCAGCCCTAGTTAACATTTTTACCATATCTTACCACCAAAGAAAACCTCAATAGTTACTAAAAAGAGTAAAAATTATCCAATCATCTTTCTCTCACCATGGAACAGTAAAGTCAGAATTCCTCTGCCTGAGCTTTCCATGTTGTCCTGGTTCTTCCAAACAAAATTAAAATAAGTTTACTGGAAATGACAAAACATTTTCTAAAATAATTTAAACCAGACACAGTGGTGCACACCTGTAATCCCAGCAATTTGGGAGGCTGAGGCAGGAGGATTCCAAGTTCCAGGCCAGCTTCAGTAATATAGTGAGACCCTCAGTAACTCAGCAAGATTGTGTCTTGGGTGGGGGAAGCAGGGGGTACTGAGAAAAGTAGCTTAGCGGTAGAACACCCTGGGTTTGATCCCCAGTACCAAAAATTAAAATAATTAGAGTCAAAACCACAATATTAAAATAAAACAGGTATAAAACATACATCATATTCATGACCTTGGATCAGGCAATAGTTTCTTAGAGATGATACCCAAAACACAAGCAAACAATTTAAAAAATAGATAAATTAGATGTCATGAAAACTACAAGCTTTTTGTGATTCAAAGGATACTCTCTGTTACATGAAAGACAATGCACAGCATGGGAGAAAATATTTGCAAGTCACATATTTGATAAGGGTTATATGTGTTGAATTTTGTCTCCCCAAAGAGGATATGTTGAAGTCTTGATCCCTGGGCCCTCAGAAGGTGTGACCTTACTTGGGAAACTCTACAGAGGTGAAGTTAAAATGAGGTCATTTAGGTGCCCTCTGACACAACAGGAGTTTTGGATGCAGAGACAGACATACATGGGCAAGATGCTGTGAGGACACCGAGTCCTGTGGACCAGAAGACAGAAGAACAAGGAAGCGTCCTCCCCTAGACCAGTAGAGAGAGCATGGCCCTGCCAACACTTTGATTCTGGACTCCTAGACTCCAGAGCCAATTACAGACAATACACTTCTTTTTGGGGGGTGGGAGTACCAGGGATTGAACTCAGGGGGACTCGACCACTGAGCCACATCCCCAGTCCTATTTTATATTTTTATTTACAAACAGGGTCTCACTGAGTTGCTTCACGCCTTGCTTTTGCCGAGGCTGGCTTTGAACTCATGACCTCCTGCCTTGGCTTCCCAAGTTGCTGGGATTACAGGTGTACGCCACCACCCCCAGTTGAAAATACACTGCTTTTGTCACCATAGCTTTTGTCACCTTGAGGTGTGTGTATATTTAACATGATGTATATGTATAGACATATATATGAATATATTTCTCTCTACATGTTCATTCTTCTTTTTTTATAATTTTTTAATATTTATTTATTTATTTTTTAGTTATTGGCTGACACAACATCTTTGTATGTGGTGCTGAGGATCGAACCCAGGCCGCACCCATGCCAGGTGAGCTTGCTACTGCTCGAGCCACATGTCCAGCCCCTACATGTTCATTCTTATAACCTCATGACGAAAAGAAAATATTCAGCTAGGTTTAGTGGCTCCTATAAAAGGGGGTTGGGGATGTGGCTCAATGGTTAAGCACCCCTGGGTTCAATCCCCAGAATAAAAAAAAAAAAGATTTAAAGAGAGTCAGAGGAAGTATATTAAGAGCTAAGAATGATAAAGGAAATGTCAAGAGTCAAGATTTGAAAATCAGAAAATGGATGTACATCCTAATGCTTAGAGATAGTCTTAAGAGATAAACTAGAGCCATCAGAAGTTCTAGTCAAAGCAATAACTGAAGACAACTTTTCCAGGAATTAAAAAAAAAAAAAAAAAGCTGTGCAGAAATGTTTAAAATGTTTACTGTATTCCAGCCAAACTCAATGAGAAGAAATCCATAGTGGTTAAATTTTAATTTTCTTCAGTAGGCTAAGGAAGTATTCAAACATTGGTGTGCTACACATAAATACACCCAACTTACTTACAAAAGAATGAAAATAAATATAGCCTCAGACACCATAAAGAGGGAAGTAGGGTCACAAACCCCTCACATGTCCTCAGATTGGAAAACTCAAAAACCATACCACTCATCTTTCTTGCAAAAGACACTTGAGAGATCACTTGAAAGTGTATATTTTCAGAGAGTCTGCAGGAGCTGTGTCAAGAATGTGGAAGGGGGTGGGCATGGTGGCACACCTGTAATCCCAGCTTCTTAGGAGGCTGAGGCAGGAGGATTGCACGTTGGGGCTAACCTCAGCAACTTAGACCCTGTCGCTAATGAAACATAAATAAAAAGGGCTGGGGGTGTRGCTCGGGGTAGTACCCCCTGGGTTTGATCCCCAGTAGTAAGGGAAAGTGGAGGAGGGGCCAGGGGGAGAAAGGCAGGCAGGAAAAAAAGAATGATGGTGTAGTATAAAAGGTCTTCCTCTATTCATCTCAATTCCAGACTCAGAGCTGGCTGACCTGTGGACTCTTCACCCCACCTGCCCCCTCTGTTTCGGGGCCCTTTTCTAGGACCAAGAAAGAGAGAGACCGATGCAGCAAAGCCCTTGCCTAGTCCCCAGGATGGAGGCAGCGGGCACACCATCCCTGAGACAGAAGGAAGGGAAGAATGACTCTGCTTCCTACTGAAACTTTTGAAACGGGAAGGCAACGTCCCTTTTCCACGGGAAATCAGAGGCAGACAAACTGCAGCGTTGGGTGGGACCCAGGCTTTCTGCGACGTGGTCAAGAGAAAGGAGCTCCCTCGGGCTCCCGCAGACTCGCTGAAACGCTCACATCCTCTTTGGCCCAAAGGCCGGRAGTCACCTGGGAACCTCAGCGCTCCCTCGGGGACTTGGGGGACAGCGACCAAGCCGCGGTGGGCATCCCCGGGCTCAGGGGGTTTTGTGGTCACTTCGACTCCTGGAGGGGTTCTGGGCGCTCGCACAGGCCGTGGTTTCTTTGGGGTGGGGGCTGCGGTGGGACGGCGGGGCCCCAGGGGGCGGGAGAGGCGGGTGTCCCGGGGGCGGGGCAGGTGCGGGCGCGCGGCGCGGCCTTACCCCCGGGCCCGGTGGAGACGGTGACCTGCGCGTAGGTGGCTCCCGCGGCGGCCGCCGGGCCCGAGACGCCGTTGAGCGCGGCCACGCGCACCGTGTAGCGCGCGCCGGGCCGCAGGTGGAGCAGCGTGGCGGCGCGCTCGCGCAGACCGGCCTGGCGCGGCACAAAGGCCACGCGCGGGCCGCAGGGCTCGCACGCGCCCGCCGGGCCCTCCCGGCCGCAGCGCAGGCACAGCAGCGAGTAGGTGACGTCCGAGCGGCCGCCCGAGTCCGCCGGCGGCAGCCAGCGCAGCCGCAGCGCCAGCGGAGAGCGGCTCAGGCTGTACTGCAGGTCCCGCGGCGCCGACGGCGGCCCTGGCGGCAGGGACAGCGCTCAGCGGGGCGTCAGGGACCCGGGAGGGACCCGTTGGCACGAGGCTCTGGCATCCCCAGTGGGGTCAGGCTCGGGGTCAGTGAGGAGAACGGCCTGGGGGAGCCGGACAGGGCGTGGGAGCGGGGGCCGTCCGTGATGGTGTGGGAGGAGGTTGGTGCTGGCACAAGGATGGGGCGTGGGGRTCGGGAAGAGAGGGCGCCAGGGTCGGGAGCCCCTCCAGGCTGGGGGAGGGTGAGGAGAGGGCACTCCCCCTGAGTGGCCTCGACCGTCGGGAATCCTCACTTCTCCGCCTCTCSGGGTGCTTCCCATCCCAGGCCCGGGCCTCCATCCCCACCCCAGGCTTCCCTTCCTGCACTAGGCACCCCTGGTCGCTAGCTCCACACCSGCCCTCACGCCCCCACTGTGGAGTCCCTGTCACCACCATCTGGATCGCGCCGTTATTCACCGCCTCCAGCGCCCCCAACCCTCGCGATGCGGCCAGGAGGGACACTCACGGGTGCAGGAGGCCGAGGGCGGGTCGGTGGGCGAGCGCGCATAGTTGTCTTGGCACACGCAGAAGGTGGAGGCGCTTTCCAGGGCCCGGCTGTGTTCCGGGCACGGCGAACAGAGCGGCCGCCTGGGGGACACCTTGTAAAACCCTGGGGGACAGGCTGCGGAGAGGGGCCGGTGAGCAGGGGGCTTCTCCACAACTCCCCGCCCCTTTCCTGCCTGAGCCCTTCACGGTGGGGTTTATACCCTTAAACTGTGATAGGGAAAGTTGGGGGACTCAGCTCCTCCAGTGTGAACAACCTAGTGTCACCTCTTAGTAAACACTCAGCGTTTGCAGGGAGCGTTGACCTAGTTTACTTCCTCTAATTCATTTGATCCTAATAACTTGTGAGGTGTGACTTCATCTCCATTTTGAAAAACAAGGAAACTGAGGTTCAGAGAAGTAAAATCAGTTGCCCAKTGTCCCACAGCTAGTGCGATTCCAACCCACACCCTCTTCTCTAGAGCCCAGACTGCATGACTCTAAGGTTCATTGGAAGAAAACTAGTCACACTTTGCAATCCTGATGTGAAGAGAGGAGCTCCAAAGGCTGGGCCCCAGTCACCCAGGGACAGACACAAGCACACTCCCACTTTATCAGCATTGACACACACGCACAGACACATTGTCAAAGTTCTTCTTCCCCCCATGGTCCTTGGGAGTTAGTGTGTCACAAATCCCCAACTCACCCCCTGGGCTGCACAGCGGAGGCAGGGTGGGAGGGAGAAGAGGGCCCTGGAAAGCTTCCCAGCTCATGAGTCAAACAGGTTTTAGTCTTGACACCTACTCAGTTACTCTGCTTCACCTCACAAAGCCCAGCTGCTAAAAGCACAGGCTTGTATATATGAACAACTGGGGTTTGTCGCTGAGTTGCACTACCTATTTGCTGTGTGGCTTTGAGCACAATGGTTGACCTCTCTGAGGCTTGTGTAGAATACCCACCTCAAMAAAGCTGGTGGGGGATTAACTGAAATAAAACATGCAAAAGGCTTAGACCAGTATGGACTATTTTACACAATAATCATGGTAATTACTCCATCTCCCTCACAGTCTTGAAGTGGAAACTAATAAACACCCACTTTAAGGAATTTCCCACCAGCTGGGCCAGGAGAGAAGCAGAGGCTGCTGGCTCCTCCTGTCAGAACTTGGGTGGTCCTCCCCTTGTTCCTGGACCCTGCCCTCTAGATTAACCGATGAGGGAAGACGAGGATGAGGGAAGACGAGGTTGCTCTCCGGCTCCAAGAAGACAGAAAACAGCAGCAGGAATGCAGACTAGACCTGAGAAGAACTTTCTGGGAGAGAAGGGAGGGGCCTGAGGATTTCCACTGTTGGAGAGGCTCAGATGTGGAAAGATCCATCCAGCACAGTGTAGGGAAGGGTCTCAGMAACCCAAGGGTCTTCAGAAGTCCCTGGGGCCAACTACCATTGTGGCCTGGGGGTGTCGACTACCCAAACAGGGACCAGGAGGGCTGGGTTCAGTGTTAGCTAGACCATTCCTCTCTGGCCACAAACCATCAGTCAGGTGGGACTTATCATCGCAGCCTGCCCACCTGCCTTGTGAAATGAGGGAGGAGGTGAGGGCCTGGGGGGCAGCCTTGTTTGCAGGGTCTGGGACAGTAGGAGAGGACAATGACTACCACTGGTCCCAGCAGGGCAGTGGGTTGTCTCTGCTCTGAGAGGCTCTGTTTAGAGGTGTGTGTTGAAGAGCAGACTCAGAAGGGGATTCCCGGAGGCCAGCCTCCTTCCCTTCCTCAAGGCCAGCGCCAGCCTGGATCAGCTYGCCTGGCCTGGCCCTCCAGCAGCATTTTGGGGGCAGCAGCAGCCAGACCCTCGGCTCACATACCTCACAGTGGGGCACTCACCCCTCGGAGGCTGCCCTCAGGGACCATCTCCTGCAGTTAGAGGAATTCCCTGAACCTGAATGGACCACCTTTTTTTTTTGAGACCCTGTCTCTAAATAAAATGGGCTGGGGATTCTTATGAAGAGCTGGAACTGGCCTCCCTGTCGGTGCTCCCTTCCTGCCACACAGCCTCAGAACATAACTGCTTGGTTGCCTTAGCTCCAGGCAAGTCCCACAGAGCGAAAGACAGAGGCCATATGCCCTGATTTTTCTCCCCAAGGGGAAACCCCACCTCTTTCATTAATTCCTCAAGTGGCTTGGAGAGGTGAACAGAGTCGGCCACTAAAGGGAGAAACAGAGGGAAAGAACAGTAATTTAGCTCTATACCCTCTTTGAGATCCACCTACCCTTAGACAGGGGGCTGAACTAAGCTGTAGAAGACCCTGGGAAGGCCTGAACTTGCTGACTGTCCATCCGACTGCTTCCTTTCCTAAACTCCCCAGCAGCTCCCCACTGCCAGTCACCCTAGGATGCCAACCGCATCTGGCTCTTTTTTTTCACACTTCTGGGTCTTGACCTGCAATGTTTTACACCCCTTTCCTCCTGGCAATCTAGTTCTATAATTCTCCAAAACCCAGTCCAAACAGCACCTCCTTCACTGGCTCCCTAGCTTCCCATTCCCCAGGACAGAGGAAATGGTCTCAGCCCAAAGGAAGGCAGCCCCACACAAACCAGAGTGGAATTGTGTGTGTGTGTGTGTGTGTGTGTGTGTGGTTTCCAGAGTGTGGATCAAAACCTCCTCCAGCCCTTGATCCATTCATTCAACAAATAATTTTATCATCTACTATAAGCTAGACTCCAAAGACACAGCAATGAGCAGAATAAACAAAGATCCGAGTGTCCACTGGTACAGATGCCTCCTTCCCACCTCACAGGGAGAAGAGAGGCCATCAGTTGGTAATTCCCTCAACATCTGGCCATCAAAACCCACAAACACCTCCATCTACACTCCTCTCCCCTCTCCTCCTTCATTCCAGTCCTAGAGGAAGGGATGAGCCACCTCYTGTTGAAGGCCAGCACTTCCATCTCCACTCTGGACCCCCCTTTCACCTCTTCAATGACGACATTCCATTGGTCATCTCCCCTGCTGGTTTTCACAGGGCTCCTCTGCTGGCTTTTAAGAGGATGGAGCAGAAAAGGTGGTCCATTCAGGTTCAGGGAATAAAAGCACTGACTGCAATCATAGTGAACTGACTAAAAGTTGGCCTCTCTTTTTATTAGCAGCATGTATCAGCAATTCTAACCCCCATCAGTAATCAACTACTCCTTCCCAGCTGGGTGCAGCTGTCACCCCTGTAATCCCAGCATCCCAGGAGGCTGAGGCAGGAGGATCTGAGTTCAAAGCCAGCCTCAGCAAATCAGTGAGACCCTGTCTCTAAAAAAATAGGCTGGGGATGTGGCTCAGTGGTTAAGCTCCCCTGGGTTCAATCCCCATTGCCAAAAAAAAAAAAAATCCTTCCTCCTAGGGACAGATGCACCCTCCCACTTACTTGGTACCCCAATGGCTCTTTCCCTTCAGCTTACAATAAAAGCCCTTTCTCTGTGTTCAGATGAAAGGTACACACACACCCTCTTTCAACCCAAGGTCTTCCTGAAGATGCTACCTCTTCTTCCCCTTCGAATCCACACTTCTAGATTCTCTGCTCCAGCCACTCAACGTCCTTCAACGTTGACCTATTACAACCTGGTGTCTCCACTGATCAGCTGAAGCTGCTCTTGCTAAGGCCACCAAGTGAACATTGTCCAGCCCCCAGCCTCCCTGACTGCTCACTCATCCCATGGGTGGTGTCCTCCTGGACCCCTCCCTCTCCCTAAGCACAAGCCAGCGCCCTCTCCTAGCTGTCCTCCAACCCACCTGTTCACCTCTCCTCCTCAGTCCTTTTTTGTGGGACTGTTTTTTCTATCTTTCCTTAAACGTTGCTGTTCTCTAAGTCTCCCTTGTTGGCCCTGTTGCTTCTTACCCTGTAGTTCTCTCTAGTCTGTACCAGCCGTACCCAGAGCCTCAAGTAGTATCTGATGCTGAGCTCCAGCTCCACGTTCTAGATACTTCCACTTGGACACACCTGTCYATCTGTATTCTGGGTTCTGTACCCAGTGCACGATCCCTCTGTCCATTCAACCTCCAGYAGCATACAAGTCAAAAGGGGCCTACCCTCCTAGATCACATGATCACTAAGTGCTTTGGGTGCTCTCTCCTGATCACCCCCATTCTCATGGCTCAGGGATGTCTGCTACCTCCTTGGTTCAGAGCTCACCCTCTTTCTCCAAAACTATTGCACAATTTTCCTTATTTCTAGCCTCTAATCCTTCCTTCTCCAACCCTGTCTTTGCTATCGCAGCTTGAATGATCTTTCAAAATATAAATCTGAACATGTTGGATCCCTCYTCACTGGTCTAAACATAAAGCACAAGCTGTTTGTCTAATATTCATGGCCCCTTCATGATTTGCCCCAGCCCTTCTCCAGCCTGATCGCTCCTCACACCCCACATGCATGTCCTGGTTCTAGTCACAGGGGCTACCCATTTACACCAACATGCTGTGTTCCTTCCTGCTGCCATGCTTTTATACGCAATCCCTAARCGCACAGTGGTCTCAGCTGCCTGGAATAAAGACCTTTTCATTTTCTCTGGGAAACCCTCTCCATCCTTAGAAGTGTTTTCCTTTCTCCATGCTTGCTCAGCTCTCTGTTGGTATCTATCACACCCTATGATAACCACTTGTTAACTCAATGCATTTTCATTGAGCACCTGCCATATGCCATATCCTGCTATGGATGATGGGGCTGCTGAGACTAAGACCCAGTGTCTGAGTGCAAGAAGTTCTTAAGTCTAAYTAGGCATGGTGKTGCTTGCCTGTAATCCCAGCAGATCAGGAGGCTGAGGCAGGAGGATCATGAATTCCAAGCCAGCCTCAGCAACTTAGAAAGGCTCTAAGCAGGTTGGTAAGACCCCATTTTAAAATAAAATAGAAAAAGGGTTTGGGATGTGGCTCAGTGGCTAAGTACCCCTGGGTTCAATCCCCAGTACAAAAAAAAATCTTAATCTAGTGGTGAAAATACAATACACACAAGTAGATTACTGTAGACCTGGGGTAAGTACAGAAGGTTGAGAAGGTTGCACTGAGTACTGGAGAGCACGGAACTGGATCCTAAGCCTATCTGGAGAGCTCAGGAAGGGGTCTTGCCTCTGGGTCTCAAACAACTTCCCCAGGGAATACATAGTGGTATTCATCTATACACATCTAAGACCTGAATAAATGCAGCCAGTATGTCCTCATCTCATACTGAGTGGGTGATTGAACAAAGGAATAAGAACAAGTTCAGTTATTTCCTCCTCTGTCTTCTCATTAGTCTGTGTATCTCTCTCTTATATCATCTATCACCCTCTTTTGATTTTTAGTCTTTGACTCTCTCCATGTGGTTGTGAGCTTCTCAAGAGCTGGAACTGTCTGATTCATTTCTGTTGCCCTGGCACCCAAAAAAGGACCTGCTTTAGAAAACGAGTCCCTTGATCTTCCTACATTAAAGGCATACATTCATAGCCCTGTCTTTAACACCCACTCCCCATTCTCAAAGAGAGAGAGGAGAGGTCTGTGCCTAATTCCCCACAGACTTGAGAACCCAGCAAAAAAAAAAAAAAAAAAAAAAAAAAAAAAAAAAAAAATCATGGTGGATCTCTCCCAGATGACACAATGAGTGTGGTGCAGAGAGTTAACAGAGACTTTCCCAGTCCTAGTGCAAATTTGCTCCACTCTCTCTTGAACTCACAAGCCCCCCCCCCCTTCAGCCTCTGACTGGTCAGTGACCCCTGSAGAACTCACTCCCTACAGTGCTGGCTCAAAGTTTGGGCTGCTGTAGATTTCTTTCTTATGCACAGCAGAGGCAACATGGTATAGTTATAAAGAGCTGGACAAACCTGAATTCAAATCCTGGCTTCCCATTTCCTAATTTTGCAACTTCGAGTCTGTTTCCTACCCATAAGGTAGGGATAATGATGACTGAGTTAGTTGCTGGGCAAATAAATGAGAAGGCCTGAATGAAGTGCTTATCCTAGTGCCTGAAATACAGACTCCTAAAACTTCCTTATATGGAGTCCAATTCACCTCTTAGGAACTTCACTCCTTGGTCCTGACTGAACCCGCTAGAAGTTCCACAAAAGGTCAGAACTCCCAGTTCCAAAGCCCATGGCTTCTCCACTCCCTCTCCTGCTTCTTTCATCTAGGACACACACTCTCCCAATGGCCACCTGCGCTCTGTCCTCCCACCTCGCACTTCCCATCCTCTGGATACCTTCGCAGATGTCACCAAGTTCCTGGAATCCCGCACTGCAGCTGCAGCGGCCCACCGGCACCAGCCACTCGCCATCCGCGCCGCAGTGCATGCGCGGAGGGCTGCCGGGCTCCCCTTCCGAGTGTGCCACGCACGTTCCAGCCACTTCTACCAGAGTGGAGAAGGCGCTCTCCGCCGCGGTGGCTGGGAACGCCGCCAGGCCCCGCACGGTGGCGCGGCACTGCTTGTAGTAGACGCGCACAGAGACCAGCGCCACGCATGCGCCCACGTCCTGGAAGGCCAGGTGGAAGCCCTGCCGACTAAGCGGGCCGATCTCACGCACCTCTGTGTTCAGCTTCATCTTGCGCTCGCCCAGATCGCCCTGCGTGAAGCTCTCGTCCGCTGCGATCGTGTCAATCTTGCGGGGTCGGTTACCTCCTAAGCGGGGACGCCCGCGGCCCAGGTCTGCCTCGGTTTCCAGGTAGTAGACATTGAAGGTCTCTTTGCAAGTGCCTGAGGCGCCAGGGATACTGCTGCAGTCGCGCAGTGTGAACTGCAGCTCCACGAAGATGCGCTGCCCTCGACCTCGGCTGATCCAACCAGTCTGCAACCAGTTGTCCTGGTTGGGCTCCAGCACGTTGCACACTTGGTATGTGCGAATGGGACGGTCATGTTCGTCCACACCGCTGATTTCCTCCCACTGGGGCAAGAGTAAAGAAGAGAACAGCTCAGAGCCAAGGTGCTCCTAGGAAGTCAAACACTGACTCTAGCTGAAAACTTCATTTTGCATCATTTTATCATTTCCTGCCTCCCCTCCCACTAGCACACACACCCCTAAAATTATAAAATGCAAGTCATGCACACCTGTAATCCCAGCAACTCGGGAGGGGCACAAGTTCAAGGCCAGCCTCAGCAAATTAGTGAGGACCCTGACCCAAATTTAAAAATTAAAAGGACTGAGAATATAGCTCTGTGGTAGGACACCCCTGGGTTCAATCCCAAATTCGGTGTGGAGGTGGGGGAGTGGAGGGGAAATCTGGGCCTGCAAATCACAGTGATTCGAGAAACTGAGGCAGGCGAATGGCAATTTCAAGGTCAGTGTGCACAAGTTAGTGCTACCCATTCTCGAAAAATGAAAAGGTGGGCTAGGATTATGGCTCATAGGTAGAGCGCTCACCTAACGTGCAAGGCCCTGGGTTCGATCCTTAGCACCACATAAAAATTAATAAATAAAACAAAGGTATTGTGTCCAACTACAACTCAAAACAATAAAAAAGGGGGGCCAGGGATAAAGTGTCCCTGGATTTAATCCCCAGTACCACAATAAATAAATACATAAATAAAACCTGGTTTCTCTGTGTACCTACTTTCCTTCTTGCTAACTGGCACTACAGCATTGCAGAATTCAAAATTCCCTTTCAGGCAAAGTAGTAGAAGTCCAAAGTGATTCCAAAAAAAATCCCAAAAGGGCTCTAAGGAGCTCCTGAACAAGGGAAAAGAGGGGTGAGGCCTGGCATGCACTGTCAGGGAGAACTATGGGACTTCAGGACCCACAGAGTCCAAGAGTTTATTCATCTTTTTCATCCAATGGTGGTAGAAAGCAGCCCAAAGTGGAAGGGCGGTGGGTAGTGGGTAGGAGAAGGAAGAAGAAGAAAAATAATAGATAAATAAATAAATAACATTGGCTGGAGCTATAACTCAGGAATAGAGTTCTTGCCTAGCATGTGCAAGTCCCTGGGTTCAATTCCCTGAACCAAAACAAACAAACAAACAAATAATGGAGCACTTCACAAATCTGCATGTCATTCTTAGGCTGTGCTAATTTCTGCATTGTTCCAGTTTTAGTATATATTCAATTGAAATAAACAACAATCCTTATTGTTATTGGTGAGGAATCTGAAATTCCAGAGGGAAAGCAATGACTTGGTATGCACATTGAATTAGTGGCAGAGCTAAGAATGGTATCTGGAGTGTCTTGACTCTATATCCAGTGCCCTTTCCACTACACCAAGCTCTATTGCCTCCCACAGTACTCCACCCCAAGTTCCCAAGCCTTCTTTTAGGACTCCAAGTCTTGCTTTCTGTCAATCAACAACACTCTTTGCAGGATCTACTATGTACAAGCACACACCAGCATTAACTCCATCCATTTCTCATATTTCTGTTCTTAGATATAGTCCTTCTTTATTTTCTTTTCTCTTTCTTTCTTTCTTTCTTTCTTTCTTTCTTTCTATTTATTTGTCTAACTAACTGAAGACAACATTTTTTAATAGGCCTCTTTGGTTTGACACCAGGGCAACTGGAGATCTCACAGGTTTGAGTGTGTTTTGATCTGAGGTGACCATGGGGAGGTAAAGGCATTGAAGGATCTCTGAGACAGTGAAGGATAGTTTTACACCTACCCCATTACTTGGCAGTGAAGTCCAGCCCAGTTCAGCCTGGGAGGCTTTGGAATCCAGGAGGACAACTAAGAAGAGGGGAGAAGAGAGATGTGAGAAAGTCAGAAGGTCAGTATACAAGGAGGGTGGGATCCTTTGCTGAATTCACTGTAAATTTGCTAACTGAGGGACAGAGGATGTGGCAAAGGATACAAAGAAATGTTTCCCACTCCATACTTCCTCAGAAATGGAGTTATGAGTACCACAAATCCAGAGATAGGTAGCCACAATGATTAGAGAAGGAGTTCATATTAGTTTCCTGGGGTTGCTGAAACAGATTGCCACAAATCTGGTAGCTTTAAACGACAGAATTTTATGCTTGTCACAGTGATGCACACCTGAATCCCAGTGGCTTGGGAGGCTAAGGCAGGAGGATTGCGAGTTCAAAGCCAGCCTCAGCAACATCGAGGTGCTAAGTAATTCAGTGAGACCCTGTCTCTAAATAAAACACAAAATAGGGGTGGGGATGTGTCTCAGTGGTCAAGTGCCTCTGAGTTCAATCCCTGGTAGCCACCCCACCCCCACCCCCAAAAAAGCCAGAATTTTATTTCTTGTACGGTTCTGGAAGTCAGATGCCTGATCTCAGTTCCACTAGTCTGAAGTCAGGTATCATCAGTAGGACTGATTTCTTTGGAGACTCTGAGAGGAGAATCCATTTTCTTGCCTTCTTCAGCTTCTAGTGACCACCTGTATTCCTTGGCTCATGATCCCCTCCTTCACCTTCTGAGTGCCTCACTTCAATCTCAGCTTCTGCCATCACATCACCTTCTTTCCAACAGACTCCTCTTGCATCCCTCACATAAGGGCCATCGTGATTATATTGGACCCATCCAAATAATCCAGTATAATCTCTCCATCACAAAATCCTTAATTATATCTGCAAAGCCCCTTTTGGCCACTTAAGGTAAGATTAACAGGTTCTGAGGATTAGGGCAGACATTTTTGGAGAGGGGGTGTCATTTTTCAGCTTTTCACAGATTCCTTAGGGAATACTCTAGAGTTGGCTCTCAAATTGGGGGTGGGGAGCCCATGACACTCCCCAGTCTTTCCAGGTTCCCTAAATTACTGTTAAGTGTCAATTAGAGTCTGGAGAAAAGGAGTGTAGCAGGGGATTCCTGTGTCTACCCCCAAAATTCAGATTCAGGGGCTTTTTTAAAGTCATATCTGCAGGCAGAGAGGAGGCTTAGCCTTTTCATTTGACTCCCAGGATCTCCAGAGAAAATGGAGTGGAGAGACCTTACTAACCACGAGAGGAATAAAAATCTCTCATTTCCTCAGCCAGCTCCTTTCCCGGGGCTGTCACCTATATACTATGTTTGAAAGAATGTCAGGGTGTTTCACGTATGATCCATGGCTCCTCCTGCACCAGAGAAGCTTGGAGCCACTTTATTCCCCGGGAGGTGTCAGATCAGCAGTCTGCATCCTCTCAGCACTGGTCACAGAAAAGCACTGGTTTGGACAGCAGAGCCAGCAACCCAGACACTGGAAGCCAGGCTATCCCCAAATCTCGGAAGATTACTCATATGGGGCTTAAGGAAGGGGGTGGTCCGCCAAGGTGAGAGCATCTAAGAGGGGTTGGCTCCAGAGGCGTCAGCGACAGTGGGCAGGACCGCCAACATCGTGCTGATTTCACACAACTGACAGCACATAGAAATTGCATACTGGAAGGCATCTGCTATCCGGCGCCAGGACCAACCCTGCAAGTCAGCGCCTGATTCCAGCTCCTCAGGATTCTGCACCTGCATATGACGCCAACTGAGCATACAGCTCCCCTAAATGCAGAGACAGAAGCAAGACACGGGCTCTGATACCGCCGATCGCCCCAAACCCGGCAACCRGGACCGCGGTTTTACACTAGGCTCCAAATTCAGCACTGCGGACAGTTCCACGGCCAGCACTTCGCGACCCTGCAACCAGCATTTCACCTCCTGTTGGCCATACGGTGGTTTCCTAGCCTCCACTATGCTGGCTACATTCCATCTCCTCACCCTCGGATCTCACCTCCGCACACCCTCGTCTCCTCCGCTCTCTGCATCTCCCCGCCCCCACACCTCCCACCTCCAATCACTCAGCCTGTCCGTCTCACTGGCCCCTTAACCGCCGCCTCTGGCTCCCGCGGTTCCTGGTCTCTTTCTTCCCCAGCTTCTTAGGTCTCCAGCCCTCAAACTCCTCAACGCCCCTCTCTTCCCCATTGCTTAGCAGCCTCTCGCTCTCTCGCGCCCGCTCGCTCTCTGCCACCCGCTGCCCGCTTGCTTCAAACACCAATATAGACTCTAGTCTCTCCAATGACTCCTTCCCTAGCATTCCAGCACCCCAGCACCCTATCTTTTGGCATTCCAGACTCCGAGCACAGCCACCAGTCTCCTTACCTTCCTCGGCAGTCCCGGGCCGCCCGGGTCCCAAAAGCAGCGCGAGACAGAGCGGCATCAGGCAGACTAACAGGCGCAGCGGGTGTGGACCAGCGCCAGTCTCCATGGTCCGCAGACCGAGCTGTCAGTGCGGCGGCGGCTCAAGCCGCGCCAGCCCAGCACCGCTGAGCAGTGCCCCCAGACCCCAGCGCGGGCTGGAGGCGGGGTCTCGCCGGTCACCATCATCCATGGGGACCAATCACTAGGCATCGCCGCGGGAGGTCCACCAATCCCTGCCAACAGAGGGTGGGAAGGTGGAGTTTTATAGGCTAGGGGCGGAACACCCAACTGGAATGGGAAAGGAAGGGGTCCCGCAGATCTCCAAACCATGGGGGTGGGGCAGCGCTGAGCGCTGGCTCGATTTCTGGGGAGAGGAGGACCTGGCGTCGGTGGCCCAGGGACGCTAAACCTTAGCCCCTCAACCCTGAGAAGTAGGCAATGTGGGCGTGGCTTAAGGAGGGGCGGCACCATGGGAAGCGGTGACACTTGCAGCCTCTTAACCAGCCTGGAAGCTCCCTTGGTCCCAAGACTTGCAGGGGGTTTCGAAGCCTGACCCCAAGCTCTGGGGAGCTCTTCGATCTCCAAACCCCTTGCCTGTTTCTGCGTCTGCGGCTCTCGGCGTTTCACGTCTCGACCCCTCCTCTCTTCTCCCCGCCCTCATCAGACACACACCGAGGCAGGAGGGAGGGGCCGAGCCCGACCCCAGGAGCTGCTGGAGAAAACGGAGCCAAATGGGAGACAGGTCCCACCCTACCAGCAGCGCTTCTGAGGCTGGGAAACCATGTGGACACCAGTTTGGGGGCCKCGGTAGATTTTGCATGAGTGACTGGTTCCTCAGATTCTTGCTCCTGCTGTCAAGACACAAGTAGCACATTCCACCACCAGGCTGTCCTTAGACTGGGGTTCCCCTCTGAGCACCCCACTCCGCCCACCCTTGGAGACCGGTGAGGAGCGCAGTGGCGGGGAATCCGAGGCAGCTGCGAGAGRGGCGGAGCAATTTTCTCAGAGTTCAGCCGGTGCTGAAGAAGCCGCAAGAAAACGTGGAACACGACCTCTATTTAGTGAAGGTCATTTATGTGCAAGCTGCGGGTTTAACCGTTTGGTGGTGGGAAGGGCTGCGGCCCTCTAGCATGAGGGAGGCGGCGGCTCTWGAGCTTCACCATCTGAGCTGAACTCGAGGGGAGAAAACTCCACCCGACTCATTGCTTCTTCAAGCTCTTTACTTGGGGGACCCACCCCCTCTCTCCCTTTGCACGGTATATTAGCTCGAGCCGCCTCAAGAGTGAGGGTGGGTCCTGCATTTACTTGGCCTGTGTGGTCTGAGTGTCTCTGCATTCTGCATAAATGTACACCTCACCCCTCCAACCGACCATTATTGGGCGCCATGCTCTGTGCCGAGTATACCTGAGTGAATCACCCAGTCTCTGCCACAGTCCATACCTCTTTGAGCATCCAGTGTAATAAGAGTTCCTAGCATCGTAGATCACTGGTCACTTACAAGCTGCTTTCAAGTGCCATTTGTGTGTGTGTGTGTGTGTGTGTGTGCGTGCGCGCGCGCGCGCGCTGTGCACACACCCACTTGCTCACTCACATACGTACCATATAGTAGCAAGAAGAGGAGTGGGTGATGGAATTAGTATCCTTTTTCTGCTGAAAAGAAAGAGAGGCTGGGGCTCGGACGCCGCAGGAGACTGAAGCCCACCGAAGAAGCAGAAGGAGGTGTGGCTTSGGTCCGGTTCCTGGATGCAGGCGGGGTCTCTGAAATAAGATCTACCTGAAGAAGAGTTACTACCTCCCCACCTCCTTCCTATCTCCATTCTCCTCAAGCTCCATTGTCCCCTCCCCCTTCCTCAGCGCTGGGAGATGGTATTTTTAGAAGCGGCTCAGAGACCCAGGACTCCTTTCATTTCAGAATGAGTCCTCATTCCATCACCCCTCACCCCTCCCTTCAAACCCCACCCCCTTAGCAGGCTCTAAGGCACCCGTCACGGTTGCTTACCCCAGCTCCAGGGACTTCAGCCCAAATGTTCTGACCCTAGGTAAAAGCTAAATAAATCACAATGCAGGCTCCCTCAGAGCCTCCCAAGGATCTTTCAGGCTCCGAATAAATGAGGAGAATTAACTGAGGAGAGCTGCATAGGGCGCCTGGCTGTTGGAAGTCTGTTGTAGGCACACAGGGGAAATTGACAGACTGCACCCTAGGACTAGGGGAAAGAGGAAGAAAAAGAGGGAGATAGTCCTTCTCTTTCTTCTTCTGAACATTTATTTATTTACTTATTTGTTTATTCGTTCATATTGGGAGTTAAACCCAAAGGGGCTTTATCACTGAGCTACATCCCCAGCCCTTTTAATTTTTGATTTTGAGTCAGAGTCTCACTAAGTTGCATAGGGCCTTGCTAAATGGCTGAGGCTGGCCTCAAACTTGCTATCCTCCTGCCTCAGTCTCCAGAGTGACTGGGATTACAGAGGTGCAGCTACCATGCCTGGGTGAACATTTATAATAATAAGGCCGGAATGGAGAAGACCCAGAGTATACAGATCTATGCAAATCAGCCAGATCTTAAGAGCTACTCCAAGGTGGATCCACACTGCCAGGAGACTGCAGAGTAGACAGTTCAGTGAAGAAATTCTGAAGGGCCTTTGAAGGAAACCAAGTCATCATTTATCACAACATTTAAGTGCTGGGCCAGTCAACCAAACAATGGCCAGGATTAGGTTCCTCTCTGGCATAGCAACAGGAGAGGGGAAGGGGGTAGGAGGTGAGCAGGGAAGGAGCCCCTGGCAGTAGTGCTGAAGCCTCAGCTTGCAGMCCACCTTTGACTTCATTTCCATGGTGCTGATCCACCGGGGTCTGGACCTTCCAACTTCAGTCATAGGCTGCTGCCCTATGATCCTCAGTCTAGGACTACCCACTCCTCCAGCCTGTTGCCACAATCTGGCCATCTGTGTGTGCCGGAGCCAAGCGGCCTTCACTGTCTGGAGTGAGAGTTGAGAGCCTGGGACACATGGAAGCAGCCTGCTYTCTCTACTGCCCTTCCCACACCTCACTGAAGTCTGTGAAAAGCATGCTTCTCTCCAGTTCACTGTCTTCTGGGACCATGAGGGAACACCCGTTGGGGCTACGCAGCCTAGTTCACCACCTCAAATATTCAAAGTGGTCTTGGGAGGGCAGATTCGACGTAACCACAACTTCCATCTCTGAGCTACTAAAAGTTACAAAACCAGGTGCTGAAATTTTGGTTTCCTCATTCTTCACATTCTAGTCACACTAGACAGAGAGGGTCGTCTCCTCCATGGAGAGGACTAAGATGGCTCCAGAAAAATCAGGGGCAAACCCTGATCTCTGGGAAAAGGGCAAGGAGGTGCAAAGAGAAGTAGGGAGCTCTGCCGTTCCCAGGGACAGCTGCAATTCCGTATCATGCTCATTCACTCTTCATCTCATGTTCCTTTTTCCAGGATGAGAAAGGAATAAGCATCCTTCAGGGAAATTCTTCTCTGGGACAATTGACTCACAAGCAAAAGTAAGATGGAAGCTATGAGCAATTTTAACTGAATTTTTCTGAGATAAAGGGTTTAATTTAGTTACTGAAAATTACGCAGAGAAAAACCTTTAATGTTATGAGCTACAACCATTTAGCCTTTCAGAGCCTCAACTTCCTCCTCTGCACCACAGGAACAAGACCCTTTCAGAGCTATTGTGAGCTCAGAATATCATTTTAGTAGACAGCCGGGCACAGTACTGTTGAACTCTAGTATATACTATTATTCAACTCTGTGGTTAATTAAAGTGGAATATGGAAGAAGAAAAAAGGAAAGAAGAAAGGAAGTTAAGTGGTGAGGTAGGAAGAGAGACAGAATTAGGGAGAGAGTCTTAAAGGAAAAGGGAGTGAGGGATAAAGAAGGAGACTGCTGGTTGAGATGAACGTGGCAGGAAAGCACAGGAGTCTGCACTTGATGAGACAGGGGTGTCATCAGGCAGGCTGGCTGGCCAAGTGCCAAATGGTATCAGAGGTGACACTTACTTGGTGAATTTATCATGGTCAGAATTATACATTTGACTCTAGCAGCACTCAGAGAGAATCTGTTTCTTGGAGGGCTGAGGGGAGATCTTACTGACTCAGTTCCTATCCTACTATCTGAGCTAAAGAACCAAAGTGTTCATTCATAATGAGAAACAGAATGGCCAAGGGGACCAGGAGGCTTACATCACCATGTCCATCACATCCTTTCCCTGTAGGGAAATGTACAAGGAAGCCAATTGATGACGTGAAGGCAGCTTTGAAAGTGCAAGGGAAGGAGTTGGAAGCTTAAATACTTCACAGCATCAGACTCTGAGAGCCTGGTGCCTCCAGACTCCCAGTGAGGACAAACCTTCCACTTGGACCTGAGTGACGATACTWGGGCTCAGGGCTGGAAATAAGACATCCCATATGCTTCCTTGACTCTTTGCTTATAAAATCCTAGCTCTGTTTCTGAGCATGCCATTTTCAGACTGAAGCAGGCCTCTGAAAGTTAAATTATCAAAGTAATATAAACTAATAAAATATTATAAGTAAAAATTGAAAAATTCATTCATTACACCCCAGATAACCTATTCCCAAATTCAAATCATGTGAAGATTGATATGTACCATTCCTACACACACACATATTTTTCAAGAAAATGAATATATTAGTAAGAGGGGGTTGTATAACTGACTATCTACCCAATATTTCTCCCCCTTTTCATATTTTATATTACTGACAGAGCCTCGGCTTTATTTGTTCATCCATTATAGTCCTTTGCTTAGGAAATATGACCTTCTCCCCAAGATCAGGGATAAAAGATGATGATGATAAGGATGATGATTGTGGTACCAGGGACTCAACCTAGGGACACTCAACCACTGAGCCACAGCCTCAGTCCTTTTTACCTTTTGAGACAGGATCTCACTAAATTGCTTAGGGCCTCACTAAGCTACTGAGGATGGCTTTGAACTTGCCTTTGAACTTGCCTCAGTCTCCTGGGCTGCTGGGATTACAGGCCTGAGCCACTAGGCCCAGCCAGAAGATTATTATTGGCTAATGATATTCATCCCATTCCATGTGCCACAGGATACATTTCTGGTCTTCTGAATTGAGGATTCTCGAAAAGGTTTTCCCTCCTAATAAAA